AATTCGAAAACTTTGAAATTAACTCAAAAGTTGAACTTCTGTGACTGGGCTACGTCTGATATTTATAAGAGCAGAAATAAACTTTATGATTTGTACTACTTAAGGAAGTACAATCACTCTCAGGGTTTCATTGATTATGTTAAAAGGTACTCAAAAACATTCAAAAGTGTATGTGCAACAGCCAAATCCAATTACATAAAAAATAAAATCATAAAATCTAATAATAAAATCAAAACGACATGGAATGTTATTAATAGAGAAACTGGTAAAGAAAGAACCCTCGATGATGGGATCGCACTTAAAGTAGATAATGTTCAAATTAAAACAAAAGAACAGATTGCCAATACTTTTAATGAATATTTCGTTAATATACCATTAATTACTACTTCTAATTTGAATTCGACGCCAGCGGGTGCTAAGAGTTTGCTAGAGACGTGTGTGCCTTGGTGTAATAACCTGTTTACGTTTAAACATATTGATTTTATGGATATTATAAAATGCTTTAACTCACTTAAAAAGAAAAATACGTGTGATTTGTTTGGAATGTCTATTAAAATTACTAAAAGTATAATAACAGTTATCGCTCCTTATCTTGCAGATATATTCAATAAGTGTATTGATCAAGGTGATTTTCCAGACCTTATGAAATATAGTAAAGTTATCCCTCTCTTCAAAAACGGCATAAGAGATGATCCCGGTAGTTGCAGACCTATATCAATATTACCGGTATTAAGTAAAATTTTCGAAAAAAATATTTTAGATCAATTATTATCGCATGTCAGTTTGAACAAACTGTTACATAATAATCAATTTGGCTTTACTAGGGGTAGATCAACAACGGATGCGGGTGTTGCACTTATTAGACATATAATGGAAGCCTGGGAGAAGTCGCAGAATGTTCTTGGGGTATTCTGTGACTTATCCAAGGCGTTTGACTGCGTTGAGCACCAGACGCTGGTGTTAAAATTAAATCACTATGGAATCAAAGGCGCAGCCCAAAACTTGCTATTATCGTATCTCAGTTCCAGAGTTCAAACTGTAGAGGTAAATGGTGTTAAGTCATCTGGATCTTATGTGAAAATGGGCGTTCCCCAGGGATCGATTTTAGGTCCGTTTCTATTTTTATTGTACATAAACGATTTGCCATTTTTTGTTGAAAAATTGTGTGAGATCGTATTGTTTGCTGATGATACTTCTTTATTATTTAAGGTTGATCGATACAAGAATAACTTTGACGATGTAAATAATGCTCTCTCACAAGTATTGCACTGGTTTAATGTAAATAACTTAAAATTAAATGCAAATAAAACCAAATGCATTAAATTCACTTTACCTAATGTTAGAAGCGAAACCATTAGAATTAAATTAAACAATGAAAACCTAGATTTAGTTGAATCAACGATATTCTTAGGTATAACCATAGACTCGAAATTGCAATGGTATCCTCATATTTCTCTGCTAGCTGATAAACTTAGTTCAGCAGCCTATGCCATACGTAAAATAAGACAACTTACTGATGTAGCTACTGCTAGAACTGTATACTTTAGTTACTTTCATAGTATTGTATCCTATGGTATTAGTCTCTGGGGATCAGCAGCCGATATTGAAACTATATTTATCTTGCAAAAAAGAGCTATAAGGGCTATTTATCAACTTAGTTCTAGAACATCTCTTAGAGAAAAATTTAAAGAATTCGGGATTTTGACTGTTGCTTCCCAATTCATTTATAATTGCATACTTTTTGTTCGAAGCAATATTAACTATTATCTAAAACACAGTGACATACATTCTTTTAATACAAGGAATAAAAATAAACTCAAGATACCAAATTACAGGTTACAGAAGGTTCATAAATCATTTATGGGTCAAGGTATACATTTCTATAATAAGATTCCTATTGATATCCTTGATTTGCCTCCTCATAAATTTAAAATACACATTAAGAATTGTTTACTTAAGAAAGGATATTATACTGTCAATCAATATTTGAATGATAAAACGGCCTGGTTGTAATTTTACCTGTAGATAATTTTTCAAAAGTTATATTAAAACTAAGGCTCCCAGCCTTAGAAAGAGTTTGGAAGAGAACCTTGCACTTACTCCCTTTCATATACTTGTTAATTTTGTTTTGAAAATTGTTTCTTGCTATTTTGGGACTTATCTTTGCACTTATTGTTAGTAAATTCGTTGATTGTCTATTGTTACATATTTGACATTATGTGATGGAAGTTGACCTCAACACATGTTTGCAAGTTTGATGTCAACTTTCAATTGGACGACACTGTATGAAATAAAACAGGGAGAAAAAAGCCGCCCTTGCTGAGTTTCTTGCCGGTTCTTCTCAGTACAAGGTCTCCCGCCGTAGTTTTGCGAACCGATGGCGTAGCTTTTCGACATTCACAAGTGCTTGTAACAGCCTAGACTGAATAAACGATATTGAATTTTGAATTTTTTTTTTTGAACCGTCTGTCTAACTGTGACCACAATTCAAACGCGTATAAAGAAATTAGGTGACTCATTTCTTTGCCGCACTATCCGTAAATGGAATGCTCCGTCTGCTCACGTGTTCCCTCCTTCTTGCAACCTGGGATCCTGAGATTTAAAAGAGGCGTGAAAAAGCAACATGCAGGCCGGCAAGGTGAGGATGGCTGGTCTGGCAGGTAGAACTGCTGTACCAGCTGTCTTCACGTCTGGACTTCACCATCACTTAATATGAGGTGGGGTGGAGTCATTTGTCGAATCTATCCATAAAAAAAATTAACTCGAAGACGGCCGCGCTCGATATGTCCACGCCAATAATACCAATCCTTATAATCCACAAGAAAGTTTTGTGACACAAATGCATAGGTTTTCGGGAAGCCCATAAGAAAGAAGCTTCGAAATAAGCGCTTTGTGCCAGGACCGATCAAAGGCCTTTGCGATATCCAGACTGACCGCTTATGCTTCCCCCTTGGTATGATTGCCTTTGCTCAACGATGCGTCAAGTATACTAAAAGATTATCGGCCGAACGACTTCTACGGAACGAAACCGTACTGGTGGTCGCTGATGAGCTGATAGTCCTCTAGGTACCGAAGGAGCTTGCAGTTGATAATGGATTCCATTATCTTGTAGAACAAGAAGGTGATAGCTATAGGCCTATAGTTAGCAGGAAGAGAGCCGTCGCCTTTTTTGGTATCGGATGCACTAAATCTGTCTTCCATGAGCTTGTTACGACACCTGAAAAATAGGAGAGTCGGAAAAAAGTTGCATCAGTACCGGATCCAATTCAGGAGCATACGTCTTCAGCACAACTAGTAAGACTCCATCAGGCCTACTCGACTTGTGAATATCAAGGGTGAAGAGTGCTTTGCGCACTAAGCGTTGTGTGAATCGATTTTCTTGCATAGAGCTCTCACACTGCGGGATGGTCGGCAGTGTGTATCCCCTGTCATTCAAAGTCCAGTTAGATGCAAAGAGTGAGCATTAAAGTTCCGCTTCCCTTTTGCAGTGTGGGCCATCGATTCATCACTATTGTGTAGAGGTGATAGGGATGGCTTACAGAAGTTTCCTTTAACAGCCTTGGCAAGAAATCAAACCGAGCGAATTCCGGAGGGAAGTTTGATTGATCTTTTGCCAATGCTGCTGATGTTCTCCGACTTCGCCCTAGCAATCACTCTTTTGCAAGAGCTGGAGGCTGAGTTATACCTTTTTTTTGAGGTCGCTGGAATTTGCATCCCGAACCACTGGCTATGCCAGATAACACTTCTATTTTTGGCGAGATGCCAGTTTACAGTGACGAAGGTTGGGATTTGCCAGCAATCGGAACTACCGAGGAAGGAAAAAAAAGTTCCATACCTTGGAGGAAGACATCGGCGACAGAATCAACAAAGACGTTGGGTTCATTCTGCGATTAGCAAATCCGTCCCCAAGGGTAGGATGCAAAGATAGAACGCATCCCATCCTAATCTGCTGATTATTGCGGCTGTGGTGAGAAGGTGAGTGGCTCTATACTCCGGATTAGACAATGATCTGAGAAGCCAAAAGGGGCCCCTATGGACACTTCGTAATTATCCAGATGTGAGGTCAACAGAAGGTCGAACAGTGAAGGTGTGTGGTCTTCGACATCTGGGATTCGCGTGGGCTAAGTAACCAATTGTGTCAGACCATACGCCAAGCCGAATTCGTGTGTAGATCTACCTGCGTGATCGGTAGTGCGCGATCCAAACCTTTCGGAGTGGTAGTGGAGTGGGCATTGGAATCACCAAGGATCACGATTTCCAAGGATGACATCTGCTGAAGCACGGAGTCAGTAGCCACTTGGGTGTAATCAAATAGTCGGTTGATTTTGCTATTCCGCTATGGCACCTGTATAGGCGGCGGGTGGTCATCGACGTCTACACGAAACCAAAGGATGGAGAGGTTCCTACCTTTAAAATTGATTAGGTGACAGAAACTGATATCCTCTAACTATATCCAGGGTACTAAAGATAGGAGGTGGCGGCTGGAGACGATATCTGCGTCTCGGGCAAAAGAGCAAGGCCGACTGCGCTGTCTGAAGGTGGTAGTGGACAGCATTAAGGTTGGAGTGTAAGCCCCTGACGTTGCAGAAATCCACGGTTTCGTCCTCCCCAGAATACGAAGGGCAAACTCGACGTCCACGGCCAGAAGCAGGCAGTTCTGTGCATGGACGTCGAGAGGGAGATTCCCCAGTGCAGAAGCAGCTGGTACCCCCTTGGGGTATTATTATGTTTAACTGCGCCACTCGCCAAAAACAGAAGTGTTATCATCCAGAGGAGGAGTAGGGGGAGTGTTGGGCCTCCGGTAGTCTCAATCACTCGGCGAAACACAGCATATAGTACTGCTTCTTGAAATTGAAACCTGCCAACAAACGGACGTAGACTTAAGTGAAGTTTTAATTACCCGTCAATAAGAGCTTCAGACCATAGAGCTTCCTTCTTGGTCTATTACTACAGATTTCGCAAAATCCATGATTTAACTACAACTACTAATATATCAACAGGAGTTCCATTTTACACTGTCGTCACATACTTGCCATACTACAATGACGACTCCACGATAGCATCGTGTGTCCGTATATTTTTCTACATCACCTGGTTGTACATGATGTTGCCAATGATGTCAGCTGACTGCATGCCGATCACCCATCTTATAACCATGACGCACAAGTTTATGACGCTGTGTCAACATTTCAACAGAATCAGAAAGGAATTTGAAAAAGACGCACTGATTATGGATAAACAACGCGCTTTGGAAAAACTCAAGGAAGGCGTCTTACAAGGCATACAGATACACCAAAAACTTATGCAGTAAGTTCTCTTCTTTATTTATTTTTTATTTTTGTTGCGAGGTATTGGTAATACGACCTTAATACATACCTTATTTCGGAATAAGGAAGAATATTACATTTATATTTCTACAAATGAAACTACACGGATTTCAGATCAAAAGGAGAAAAAGCAAAAGATCCCATTTGACGTAGGCACTTCTATTAATAAGGCAATTATTCCTTGAAAACCTTTTCGTATAAAACCTAATTTATTTCTACTACTAAAATTACGATGATACTCAAACAACTATAATTATATATGTACCTGAATACCTAAATGAATGGAATAAAAGAAGAATCCTATGTACTTAATGTAGGGTCTGATACAGATACTCAAACATTCAGTTACAGTGTAGTACTAAGAAACATAGAACAAATGAATTAATATTGTGTTGTAATAATGCTTTTATTGCGCAGCTTAGGGGACGAAATACACCGTGTTTTCGGAATAATCATGTCACTCCAAGTTTGCGAGAGCTCAGCGGTGGCGGTTTTACTTTTGCTACGTTTAGCTGTGAGTATGTTAACTTTGTTGACATTCACTGATTGTCTTGTAAGTGGATTGTACGGAAATACTAACTTTCATAACTTCACATCGCATGTCTTGTGGGATTGATAGAATATTAGAGTTACAGTCCGCAACAGCTAAAATTAAACAAAAATCATAATAAAAATATATATGAATGCCAAAAAAAAAACGAAGTTAAAAGTAAAAGAAGTTCAAAAAAGTCATATAAAAGTCCGAGGGTCGGTTTTGCAATTTTTCTCAAGCTTATGAAATAGATAGTGTTTAGGTGTATATTATAAATGAATGTTACAAAGGTTAGTTCGCAAGTATGATTGAAATTTAATATTTTTAATTTACAGCTGTCGCCTCACATGGATTTAACAAATGCCTTCATGACATACACTTTCGTCAGCTCTTTATTTTTATTGCTCGCTCTTAATCTTTGGAACGCCGGGGAGATTACGTATCAGGTGAAATATTTTAATTAAAATACTTGAGAACAAGAGTCTTCAGGCATAATTAAAGTAAGCTTAGTGCCTTTTGCATAAGTCAAACAGCTGTTGGGTGTAATTTTATTTACTAATGTAAATCAAAAGAATTTTTTTACTAGACAAAAATTCCACTCGATTTATTTGTAGTAAAAAAATTCTTGTATTAATTTGTAGTTCTAAACTAACTTAAGCTATTTGTGACTATAACTACTGAAACCTTTTTTTTTATCTCGTGAGCTTCTTCGTGGATTAGTGAAAATATTTTGTTTTAATGACAAAGTCAACTTTAAAGTTTAAAATTATGCCTAACTTTGAATATAAATTTAGTTGCCGCTATCTTAAGTATATTCTTATTATTGTATGGGGTTGATAAACATCCAATATTTATGGCAAATTAAAACAACAATCAGGTTACCATAGTTCCTTACAATTAGACGGATATGGAAAAACAATGCGCTTGCTCGTCTCTCTTTAAACATTAATTATAAAACGTCATCAGTTTTTTAAAAACACAGACATACTTATAAAAAAAAAATGGTTGCCTGTAAAGTCGGTTTTACGGGCGAAGATTTTACGTGACAACGTCTTTTTCTCGGTAGAATATTTATTGATATGAATATAATTAAATTGCACAATAGGAACAAGGAATTGAATGAAAATAAGAATTGCACAAATTTTAACTATAGAAATATATTTTGTTTACTAAAACATTGTACATGTAAACTTAAACTTAACACGAGAGACTCATCGTAACGTTACCGAGCGTTACACTTTTTCATAAGTGACTCCCAGCCGCAACCTAATTTAAGACGTTGTCACGTCAAAAAAAATTAAGCGTTTAAGTAATCGTTACATTATTTATCTAAAAAATGTAAACTATACAGTAATCAAGGCAGATTAGAATAGTGTCAGCTACCAGCGTTTTCTCTAGGATCACTTAAAGAAAACCGGAAGACGTACCCAGGTGGGAGATTTGAACCATATATCAAAATTGTATTTAAATTTAGCACAAACAAAACGTTATTCGTTTATATGCCAGCGGTGCTATTCTGTAAAATTTTATAATAGCACTGCTGATACTAGAAGCCAATCTCGCATGTGACCAATGAATGAATAGACGTTTTGTTTGCAAGTCTCCTGGTTTTTTCTAATGACTCGCAACATAAGAAATAATTGAAAAAATATTAACCAGTCTCAGCACTAGGTACAATGAATAAGCCGGATTGCTATCGATATATCGGCACTGTTGCAAGCGCCATGATCAAGTAGAAGATACTGTTACTCCGCGATCATGGCGATCGCTTGCAATAGTGTTTTAACGGGAACTCACAAACGCAAAGTACCTACAAAGTAGCAATCCCGCTGATTACTATAATGTTAATGACCATTAAAGCTTAAAACAATAATTCACATGACCTATTTTGTAGTATCTCATAATTTGTCCTGACACGAAGACTATAATTTAATCATATAAACGCATTGTAAACGTAGATTGCACGTCAGATTAATGACCTGCGCAGACGACGGACTTTTGTCCGCGGAGGACTTTTGCCTGCGTATTTTGAAAAAAAAAATCGCAGAGGATTTTCGCGGAGTCAACGCACACGGTGTGAGACGCACGCAAAGATTTCATGCGCCATTGTGCACACGTACATCACTGTCGCGGACGCGAAAATGTGCATTGCCGCCTCTTGTCACTAGGATTGACAACCCTACTATATTATATGGAATCCTATAAAAATATAGTAGGCGAAATTAATATATTTTGCTTAAAGCAGACTTTGGCCAGTCAAAGCTTTCTTAAAAATAAAAACTAAATTATTAAGACATAAGGCAAACAGCAGCAAAAATATATTCATTTCAAAAATAAAAGATTTTAACCACATACTATATTTATTTTAATTTTTTCGCCATCTATTATATTTTTAGAGGTAACAGCGACGAAAATATGTACTATATTTGATAGAAAAAGAAGTTGGTAGTCCTACTTGTCACACATGTGTTCTAATTTTTCGCGGACTCTCGCTTACTTTTGTCCTGTCCGATTCAATGGTGTCAACGGTAATTTGGGGGACTTTTTGTCCGCGTTATTTTAATCCGTCGTGTGCATTATTCGATGCAGTTGTAAGCGAACAAAAATCACTCGTCTACGCAGGCTATAATCCAAATCCACGTCAATTATCCTGTACTTATCCATTTGATTTTATTTGCCGCCCAGCTTCGACGTGCCATTACCTTGTTTATAAACTTATTTTGAAATATTAAATTAAAATAAACTTTATTCAAGTTTACTTTGAGTTGACTTAATAAAAGCTCTATTGAATCTTCCTCTAATATTTTTCCTTGCACCAGTTCAGGACATTTTACAAGAAAGATACTCCTCCTTCACATACACATACACAAAAAACACTATAAATTAAACGCAAACGCAAAATTACGCGCACAGTGGCCGCGACACAAAACGTGTATGAATATAAGGTGAAATTGAATGTTTTAATGAAAATTCGTGGGATTGTTGGGTTACGTATATAGAGTATTACCGTTTTTTTCGGATTTATTAAAATGATTAAAAATAAAATTTTGGTTTTTTGCTATATTTTAGACCTTTCCTCCTTTTGTGTACTACGTGTAAAAAAAACTAATAAAAAAAACTGAAAAACAGAAGACGGCCGGCCGGGAGCAATGACCGCGCCCACCATTGAATAACTACCTACCTATGCGCGGTGCAAGCGCAGTGATCGAGCGCAGTCTCAACTCTATCTATCGCGCGTGCGTATGTTTTAACTTTGTGACAAGACAAGATTTGTAAATTTTGCCTCGACTAGTTCTTCTTCTGTGGCCGCGATATAAGAATTTGGGCATGGTGTGTTGTTATCGCGAATGTGACTGTGACGAAATACTCCGCAGAGCCGCAAGGCTTTACGAAAGTAGGTTTGGTGATTGATTCTGTTTACAAAGTGTATACGGGAAGTTATAGTGAAAAAAAATAATAGGTACATCGGTCTCGTAAGTGCTTTTGAATACCTGGTTATAAATTTCTTTCTGACCCAAGTATTTAACTGCAATAAATATTGATTTTTTCTTAATATTTGCCTATTTCCAATCGTTACAAAATTATTATTTACTTTTTAGGTTTTTCTCTGCTTAAGCGAAGTTGACATTTGTGCTTATTATTTCAATAAAGGCATGTAAGACGATTTCATTGTATTATGTGGAATAAAAGGAGTCACAAGAGAGAGCTGAGCTCTGTGTACCTACTCACTCTGGTGGCCGCGCTCGAATAGTTTTACTGTTTTTTCGTTTTTTAATAGTGCTTATTAATTAGTTGTTTTTCACAGAATATGTAAGTATGCGTTTAAAATGAATAACTACACAAAAACAGGAAAGGACTTAAAAATACACAAATTATAAATAAAAACATGAAAAAAAAACTTCAAATAAAAACAAAAAAAATAGGCATACTCTATACACGTAACCCAATAATCCCACAAAGTTTCAGGAAACATTCAATTTCACCTTATATATCGAGATATCCACAGTGCGAGCGCATTTATTTAATTATATTTTTTAGGCAAAGGTTAATGTTGCTAAAGTTGTCTACTATGGCAGCACATAATGCGTGTTACTAGAAGTGAAATAAGGGTTATCTCGAAGGGCGAGTCACAGAAGTTTAATTATAATAAATTACATTATTTATGTGTTACAAAGATTAAGGATATTTTTATATTCGAAAAGGTTCAAATCTCGGTGGGCAAATGTAAGTATGTTGAATACGAGCATTTGTACCTAAGTCATGGATATTATTATAAAAAATATACATTTCCAGACTTGATAAATATACTTTTATATGTATCAGTGTATGCATTCTATTCGTAACGCTGGTATCCTATAATACAACCCTTACAGTGCTTACTTTGGGGCTAAGCTACTTATTTGGTAAGTGTTAGAAATATTTATTTATTTATAAGTTAAAATAAAACTTTCAGGCTTCATTGTTATCCAACGCTATATTCAATTGTGGTTGGCACCTCAGCAATATGGAGAAGGAATCCCACCGCGACATCAGAAGATTGGTTCTTATCTCATGCACTCAGGCTCAGAAACCTCTTATATTAAAAGCTTTTGGTATCCAAGACCTTTCCTATTCCACTTTTGTGTCCGTAAGTATAATACATGCTATTTAAAAAATATATTATAAGACAAAAGAGGTCTCCATCTTAGTAGGCTTATGTACGCAAATAACTCTACCCCACCCGGTGTTAAGTGGAGGTATAGTCCAGACGCGAAGACAGCTGGTGCAGCAGTAAAAATAGTCACATCAACCATTCTCACCTTGCCGGCCTGCAGAAATACTTTTTCCCTCCTCATTTAAAGGACCCCAGATTGTACAAAGGAGGGAACACGTAAATAATACACGTACTAATTTCATGAAGATGATGATGCAATGAAGCCGGGGCTAACAATAATGAATCTTACTTACCTTAGCTGGTATATGTATATGGCCATGTCCCTATGTATACAATTCAAGTATAGCTATGTCAACAATTACGACATCTATCATTAGATGAAAGACTGATTAGACGGACTACAATAAGAATAATAGGATTTTTGACAAATTTTTAAAAACGATTTCACGTTATTTACTAATGTTTATGGAAACCATAAAGAGTGAATGTTCATCAATCTCTTGTATATTTCAGTAAAAAATAAAATGAAAAAAATCCATTTTCAAGTTGCCTCAAAACGTTTCTCTAGACAATATGGCGTCTCATTAGTATGTGACGTCACAGACTGTCATTAAAACGTCAAACGATACAACGTAATGTCACTTTTACCGAAAGTTTACTAGCGTGTGACGTCATTTTAGACTTCGCCAATCCCAGGCGTTTTCGGTTTCGTGACCATAGAACAAAATACGTACATGTGATGTTCACATGCGATAAAAATGAAACCTACAAAACCTACAAAATATGGACACGTAAAAGTTCTTCATCATATAAAACATAAACCAGTGACAGATAATAGTGCAATTTTTAATTTTAGGATTAAAACTTACTACTACTTTCTAATAAGTACTTTTAAAAAATTAAGCCGTAAAAATTTGTTTTCTTTGTTGATTCATAAAAGACACACATTAATTTTCCACCGGGATGAAGATTCGATTGCCACGCCGCCCGTGGCTTTATTTGTTACCAACTATTTTTATTTTTTGTTATGTTTTTTTTAAAATGTCAATTGGAAAGGTAAGGATTGTTGATAAAAGCCAACCCTGTATTAAAAAACAACTTAGGTACCTACCAAACGTTTAATACTTAACTATTCAGGTATTGTAAAATACTGGGCAGAATATTCTATACTTAAATTGTTTAGAAAAATAAATAACAGCTTAATAAAAGAAAAAAAAACAAGCTCAGGATCGATATATATGTGTACAATATACATGTATGTACATATACACAATCAGGTCTTAAGTATTGTCACACAGTTAAAACTTTTCTTTTAGAATGCTGGCCACAAAAAAGTTTATTGAATTCGAATTTCGAATTATTAATGAAAATAAAATTGTATACTTTTTAGAATTTTACTCATTTTTAAATATGGAGTGAATGCTTAAAGAAGACCGTGTTGCAGTTATTGCGTTGCATCGTTGCGGTTACGCGCCAATTCAAATTTTTGACATACTGAAAAAACTTAATATAACCAAGAGATTCGTTTATCGTACTATCAAACGATACAATGAAGAGCCTAGTGTAGATGACAGGTCAAGAAGTGGTCGCCCTCGGTCTGTTAGGACTCCAGCAGTGATAAAAGCTGTGAAGGCGCGAATTCAAAGAAATCACAAACGTAAGTAGAAACTGTTGGCCCTTCAGATCGGGTTAAGCAGAACCACGGTGACAAGGGTGTTAAATAAAGACTTAGGGCTTCGGGCATATCGAAGAAAAACAGGACATCGTTTGGATGCTCGTCTAATGGACCTGAGACTCTTCAGTCTGCCGCGCTTTGTTGAAGCGGTACGCGGGAAAAAAATATCGGGAAATTATTTTTTTGGATGAACAAATTTTTACCGTAGAAGAGAGCTACAACAAACAAAATGATAAAGTGTACGCACACAGTAGTGAAGAAGCGAGCAACCGTATTCCGCGTGTCCAACGAGGTCATTTTCCATCCTCGCTCATGGTATCGTTGGGAGTTTTTTATTGGGGATTAACAGAGGTACATTTTTGTGAGAAAGGTGTAAAAACGAATGCAGTTGTGTATCAAAATACAGTCCTGACGAACCTTGTGGAACCTGTTTCTCATACCATGTTCAATAACAGGCACTGGGTATTCCAACAAGATTCGGTGCCAGCCCATAGAGTGAAGAGCACACAAGACTGGCTGGCGGTGCGTGAAAGCGACTTCATCCGGCATGAAGACTGGCCCTCCTCCGGTCCAGATTTGAATTCGTTAGATTACAAGATATGGCAAAACTTGGAGGAAAAGGCGTGCTCAAAGCCTCATCTCAATTTGGAGTCACTCAAGACATCCTTGATTAAGGCAGCCGCCGATATTGACATGGACCTCGTTCGTGCTGCGATAGATGACTGGCCGCGCAGATTGAAGGCCTGTATTCAAAATCACGAAGGTCATTTTGAATAAAGTTTATTGTCATAAGAATCTATGTTTTGTTAAGTTCATTTTGGTATATAAATGGTTACATAATGAATAAACTTCTTTCAATTATTTTATATTAAACATGTGACAGAATTTATCACCTGACTAGGTACTTATTTTATTTACAAGCCATAAGAGAAAGAAAATGTGCGCGCTTACTACTTTCTTTTGCTTATATTCCTCCACTCAACTCCCGTTCGCCTCGCCCGAATACACTTTTCGTAACGTTTAACGCATTCGCCAGCTTACCCCCCAAGTCAAGCGTGCATATAGAAATTTCACTTCAAAAATATTTTTCAAACTGTATTCTACCATTTTGTCGGCGTGATTAATATACATATTTCCACATATTACAACTTTCTAGTGCTAACAATCTCCGAACAAAACGGAAAAGTCAGGACTACGAACCCTAACAAGGCATTTCTTTATAATGATTTTATAGAGAAATTATTTATTATTTATTCTCTCAGAATAGTAAAATCATATTCCATACAGATGCTAACAATTGATACTTTATATTTCATAAGACTATTCCATCTACTGAAATACTACAGTTAGGTAGTTAGGTTAATTAAATAAAATAAAAATACTTAGTTTTTGCTCGGTAACTAATAATGTATGCGATGAGTAATAATGATGCATTTGAACTTTAACCAAATGTAAGAAAATTACTGACATTTTTACTAACAGGAAGTTAAAAATTAGTGTCCGGTAATTGGAATGAGCACTGGCAATAAAATATGCTAAGTATCTCTTGTAAAAGTCAGTGAGTTGGCACTTCGCGTGAAACTCGAATTACGGGTCCGCTTACAATGATACAACATTTTTTATTTCCCTAAAAGTTTTTTTCGCCATTCAGCAAATACTTACGGCATAAAACTGTTGCTTGGTGGGGTGTTGAATGAGTTAAACTATTCAGGGATGTGAAACGGCTGCATGATGTATATTTAAGCTTGTTTGAGTTCAATGATTTAATATTGCGTACCAGATTGCTGCCATTAAATGCCTTGTTTGCTTTTCACTCGCACTTTTTTGCTATCATAATTCTAACCTACTAAAAACCAATCAAGCAAGCACTCTTCATGTCCCGTACCATTTCTTTTTACAATAAGCACCCACTGTAATTTTTAATTTGACGACCTCTGTGGCCGAGTGGTTTGTACGCTGGGTTTCATGGTGTCGCCGACTGGAGAGGTCCCGGGTTCGGATCCCGATGGGGGCAGATGTTTGTGTGATGAATACGAGCATTTGTACTCCAGTCATGGATGTTTAATATATAATTCTATATAAATATACTTATATATGTACAGTATATGTATTCTATCTGATACCCTAGTATCCCATAACACAAGCCTTATAGTGCTTACTTTGGGGCTAGGCTAATTGGTGTGAGTGTTGGCAATATTTATTTATTTATTTACTGTATCATTTACTTATCTATTACAAATTTACATATAAAATGACAATGGTGAAATACATATTTGGTAAAGGAATTCTTTAGCGTCTGCGTCCGTCGTCACAGATGTCATCATCAGAAATGTTAATAAAATAATCTTAACGGATTTATAATATACTTTTAAAAATTTGTTTTTGTATTACTTGGTATGACATAACCTGCAAAACTTAAAAGTAGAATATCTTCATAATCCAGACTTCCTATAATAACAAAATAAGACAAATTAAATCAAGCATCTAAACCCTATAATTTTACATATACTTAATTCATTTATAGACGCATAAAAACTAGTTTTAAAAATATTTTTGTATGGGAGTTCGCTCTTGTCCTTTTGTTTAAGAAAATTTAAATCTTCCGAGGAAAATGTACCCATGTAACAACAATTTATTTGCCAATCTAAGAGTAAAGTTAAATACATATTATTAAAATATAATACATATAAACACTGCTAACGTGCGCGCGTGTGGGTGCATGTTTAACAAGGACTATATTTATCAGTTGTTCCTCCAATATTAATGCGGTTATAGTGCTTTGGTTTCACGATTGAAGATAGGAAAAGTTAATTATCTTGAGCTCTTGTATGCTAAATAAGGCACGTTAAGCTGTTGGTCACAGAAATAGTTACTAATTTATCGTCAATAGCATAGTCGTCGATAGTTATCAATCTTTAATAAAACTTTCATAATTTCATAGTTGGTAGAATAGACCCATAAGAAACCGAGGTCGCCTCGAGGTGCGGACACTGACGCGGCGAAACGCAGTGGCGAAATTGCGGTAATCTGTCGTATAATATAATAATAATAATAATATTCTTTATTGTATAACACCACAAAGGACATAACAGTAAGATTACACTGACAGAGACACATTACATAATGGGCGGCCTTATTGCTTAATTGCAATCTCTTCCAGGCAACCCATGACGGAAAATTAAATAAGTATATAAGTACAAAAAAAGGGGGAAGGGTTTAAGAGCACTATTATAAAATAAAATAGGTAATAACAACATAGATGCATATTGCATATATGCATAACATAGAAAAATAAACAAATAAAGGAAAGAGCTATTTTCAAAGTAAGGATAGGAAATGACGCTTAACTTGCTCACGGAACGAGTCCAGAGTGCGAGCCCTTCAAATGGATTCTGGTAATGATTTCCACAAGCGAACAGAATGCACAGAGTAGGAGTAAGTGCTTGTCAGACTTAGCGAATTTACTTCGCGTATATTGCATCTCGCTCTATCTGTTTGAGATTACCTATAATTGCAGCTCTATCTGTATAGTATCTCTCTTACATTTTTTTCCTCCCAGACGGAGAAGCGGTTGTGAAATCCTCATGGATACCCAAGCCGGCTGGCTGCAGAGTTATGTCAGTCTGCTACTAACTAAAACACACTCCCGCGGGATCCCTGGGGACGCGTATGGCCATAAGGGTCTTACAAACTTTACCTGAT